GGGCAAAACATAGATATATGCCTATGATGTAGGAACTGAATAAATTGTACTTATATTATATTTTAATAATTTAATCAAGATGAACATTAAAAAATGTGTTAATTTGAATGTGTATTAATCATTTTCTTCTTTTTATTGTAACCACCATTTCAAATATGCAGAGAATGTTAATATTTAAGTAAATGTTTTGCAAAAGATGAAAATCTTATAATATAAATAAATGAATTTCATTTAATAACAATGTTATTAGAAACATTTGGAAAAAAAAAATATACTTATTCTTAATTTTTTAACTATTTTTAGAAAAAATTAACTAGTTTATAAAATATATTTAATATTTAAGTTGCCAATAAAAAATCTTGCTCTCACTTTATTTTTTAGCTCCATCCCAACGTATTATAATATATCATAATTATAAATTTATAATTTTATAAACATTGTGAATATATTATCTTTGTTATTACCATAAATAATAAAAAAGTTAGTGTTAGTTTATGGGCCTATTAATTAAGATACCCTGAAAAAGCCACTATTTAGTGCTACTGCTATTTGTAATGAATATGCACTATTATCGATTGTGCAGAATCCAGGGGTTTTGTGCTTAGGTGCTTTTGAGTAATCCATAGCTCGCTGATATAAATTTATGACGTGAAAAATGATATGCTGACCAGTTTTAGGTATAAATTTCTTTTATAAGTTTGCATGTTAATTAATAATTTTTTTTTATTCTATTAAGGTTTATAAGATTAAATATATATACTTATTTAATTAAAAAAATAAATTATTAAAAAAATTATAACTAAAAATTATCCCTAAATTACTAACTTTATTACATAAAATAGGAATCACGCACTACCTACACATCCAATCATATATAAAAAAGTTGCGTTTCTTTTAATTTGAAGTCACATCACATGGATGAATGGGAAACGCAAATCACAATAAAATAAAACGATAGGAACACCCTACGTTTTCCCCCTCAATGAGTGGAAAGGTAGCTTAAAAGAAAGATTGCTGGTAATATGGCGGCTGACCTCATCCTCTTTGGCGCAATGCTACTTTTATAATCAATTACTGCAAAATATCAAAACAGATTTTAGATTTGTGTTCAAAAAGTAAAGTGATCTCTAGCAATCTATTTAATTATGCAAAAAAATTATAAGAGTTAGATTTATTTTTAACTAAGAATTAATTTATAATTTAGGTTTATGGTTTAAATTTTGATGTCAATAATATTTAAAAAATTAATTAAATTTTTTTAAATATATCAAGTTAATATAGAAAATGTATTTTAAAATCACTGAAAATAAATTAGTTTTGGGAGGTGCAAAAATTGTTTTAAAGAAACCTTGACTTTAAATAAAAAAAAATCATCCAAAAAGATAGAATTAAATAAGATCAAAAAATGATTGATACATATTAATAAAACACACTTTCTAAAATTTGTTTTGATTTAGTTAATATAAGTATAACTAATTTATCTAGTTTTTGTATCTTATATACATGATTGTACTTTTAAATTTATTTATTTTTATATTTATACTAAAAAATAATAATTTTAATAAATACATTATACAATGTATTAAATTAGAGTAAATACATATATTATAGCTTCAACACTTGATGGCAAAACCCCACAAAGTGCCCTTCAACTTTTTGAGTGTGTGGGACTTTACTCCTCACATTATAATGTGTGATTTTATGCCCTCCTAGTATTTGAGTTTATGATAATGAGAGAATATTTAACGTTGAGGGGTCACGTGTAGCACATGTGTTGTTAATTTCCATCATACATGTACAAGTTAGCGACATGTGGGCCTTTTTTTACATGTTGGCAGTCCAACTTAGACTGCTTGTTAATGGGAAATATACCCTCAAACAATTTAATGGTGGGCCCCACTCTCTGACTCTAACTTATGAGTTGAAAAAACAAAGGGAAAGTCAAATGAGATACAAAATGTATTTAAATGAGTCATGGGGTTAAAAGAAGAAATCTGTCTTCTCTGATCCATCGCTTTCAGACCTATTTCTTTTCACTTCTTCTTGGCTCCATGGTTTCTTTGAGCAACTTTGAAACTTCAACTCCAGTGGAATTTGGAAGGTACGATTATGATTATGAAGGGCAAAGTCGAATTTGCTTTTGTGGTTTGAAGGTGCCAAGGATCATGTCCTTGAGTCAGAAGAATCCTGGTCGGAGGTTTTTTGGATGTCCAATATATGATCCTATCGTAATTTCTTCCCCTAAAATTCTATTTTTAACTTGTGTGTTGCTTAGGCTTTTCTTTGCTAAGCACTTTTGAAGGATTTTTGTTTTCCTAATTTCAAAGGTTTTAGGGTTTTGTTTGATAAGGAATGATGGGTTTGATTCCATGTTAATGGGATTTGATTTTCATACTTGCAGATGAGAAAATGACAATGTAAGTATTTTGTATGGTATGATCGTGATGTCTCTTTCAAGGTTAAGGAGGTTATCTTGTGGCTGTACAATAGTAAGAGAGAATGGAAAAATGATTTGGATGATGCAAGAGAAAGGATCAGAGCTCTTAGGGATGTTGTGAAGCATCATGAAGAAAATGGAGAGAAACATGTTGAGGCATTAGAGAATAAGGTGGATGACTTGCAGATGATGGTGACATTAACAATGGTGTATGTTGCGAAGCTAGAGAAATGGAAGAGGTGTGAGAAATTTTGTTTGGTTTTGACTATTTTTCTTGCTTTTGTCCTAGCCTTTTTCCTATTTAGTACTTGGGTTAAGGGCGCTAATAGAGAGAGGGATTTGAAAAGTATTGGAGATTGAGAAGCTATGAAACTGGGGAGACTTATGTTATGTGGGCAATATCTATGGGCAATAACTACTTTTTGCTAGGCAATGTCTTGGTATGCCTTTGAACATTGTTAACCATTGCCTTTGGGCTTGATTGAATTCTCCCTTGTATTGTATTTTGTAATATATAGAATGAATAGTAAATGACAATTTTAAAATTCTTGTAATTGTTGTTTATGTTATCTCATGTTGTGAAGAATCATCAACCCAAAATAGGTACAATATATTGTTAATGTAAACTATATAAGAGCCACAAAAATAAGGAAATTTTTTGATCATAAACTGTTAACATAGGGCCAAACAGCAAAGTTGCATTTACACCAAAACTGCATTCGCACAAAATTAGTCAAAAGAAAGAACTTGACCAGTTACAAAAAAGTTGCAAGAGATTCCAACAATCCAAAATCATAAAATCCAAGCACACTCCTACCAAATACAAACCCCAACAAAACAAAATGAAGACTTGTAGGTTGTCGCTTAGTTTCTAATAGCTTTAACATAATATCTACAAAAAAAAAAAAACCTATTGTAGGTTGTCACAAGTTGTCACAAGTTGTCATCCAAGTACTTTACTCCCATGCAACAACAAAAACCTTCCTAAATGATCAATCTTGACTTGATCTTTGCTTCTTTGATTTCCGAGGGGGATGTGTCTTGTGAAATTGATTGGGGTGTGTGTGTCTCATGGTAGTCTCTCCTTGCACACCTTGCTACAAAAATTAAATTTTATTAGTGTAAAATAAATATGAGTAAAACAATTACCATTACAACTCAATGTTAAAGCAAAAACTCATAGGGTTCAACTCTGGTGAATTGATATATTCACCAAACCTATGTTTTCTCTTCCTTCACATTCCATCAGATTGGCCAGACTGCTTAATCAATAATAAACATAAATAATTAGCAATTTTACACTATCAAGCTTATAGAAAATTGACAATTACAAATTATACTTACATTATCATCAACTACAAATCTAGAAATGCATGTAGTCCTTGTGTGACCAAGCTGTTTACAATATCCACAAGTTGGAGGTTTTCATGCTATTGGCTTTGCAGTTTGCTGGGTTACTGCCTATTGAGGATTAAGAAAAAAATGCCATTAGTTTGTAATTATTGTTCATAATAAATTGTTAATAAGTAGTTAACTTACTTGACTTTCAATTGACCTTTTTAGGTAGCCTCTCTTGTTGTGGCCAGGTTGCTTACATAATGAGCATGTTACTTACACTCCTACCTTTGTCATCTTTTGTAGGTGTCCCACCTTCACCTTTTCTGTTTCATCAGTGCTCTTCATTCTATTCACCTTTGGCCTTCCTTGCTTGGATTTACATGGAAGTGGTTCCATCGGTTTGCCATGAAAATTTTCCCAAAAATGCTCACCATTACAAGGCATGATTGGTACACTGTATGCACACTCGTACTTCACCCTTTTGTACCAAACCGAAACAAATTCATTTGGATTGAAGTTTCCTAAACTTATTACAAACAAGGCATGAGAACATGGAATAATTGTTAAATCCCATGCTTTGCAGCTACACTTGTTTCTAACCAAGTCTACAACAAATTTATCATTCCAATGCCAAACATCATAATGAGTCCTCCCATTCCATTCACATCTACATTTGGCTGCTTCCATCTTGTTTGCTTTTAATTTCTTCCTAATTCGAGGTGCTATGTCTCCTTTTCACTTATTGATTTCATCCTTATTTTTGGCCATCCTAACCATAACCTTAAGCTTAACCCTTATACATTCTAACAATTGGATGATTGGCAAGAATCTAGCATCCATTATCCAATTGTTGAAGGTCTCACCCATGTTATTGTCCACGACATCACATTTACATAATGTGTCAAAGAAGGCCCTACACCACAGCTCAGGTGGGATTGATTTTAAGGCCTCATGACTTGCCTTAATTAATTTTTAGATCTCTTCCATATATTTGCTGAATTCACTCTCAAAAGTTGACCTTGCAACAACCTAGATAACCTTTTCCTCAGTATTTTCCCTCTAAAACTTTTTTGCTAATTAGCATATATATGCCTAACACACAGCCTATGCCTAACCTTTGGGAAAACTGTGCCTTGCATTAATTAACCACTACCAAATCGTGTTAATTATATATAAAAAAGAAAGACATTTAGTGAGTCATAATGAATTAAAGAAGAATATTACATAAATGGCATGACATTTATGATTAAAGTAACATAAATATAAACTATTACAAAGTTAAGGAACATAAAATGTTACACTTATAGGATGTTGTTTGAAATAAATGTTAAGTCTATCCCAGTGTGATTTGATAGATCATTTGCTAGGCATTTGAAGAAGAATGTCCATGAACTGGTACACTTAGAATCAACAACAACCTATGCAATGGGGAACATTTGATTGTTCCCATTCCTTGTAATAGTTGCCAAAAGGGTTCCTTTACACATTGCCTTTAAAAAACAAGCATCTACTCTAATCACTAGCCTACAACCTAATAGAAAACCCTTTCTAAATCCTTCTAAGCAGAAATGAATTCCTTTAAATTGTGGCTTTCCTTCTAGAGTAGTGTCTGGCTTAATATCAATTTGCACATTTGATTTAGGTGACAACCTCAGTAGTTTTTTGACATACCCTTTCATTTGTGCAAATTCTTTTATGGAAGTTTCCTTTATCTTCTTCAAAATCTTAGCCTTTGCCAATCTACACTTATCCCTTGAAATAGTAACCCCCAATTCTAAAGGTGTAAGCCTGACCAACTCACTGATTTGGATGTGTGGATTTGTAACAATTTTGTTCTTGTGGTGTTTTGCAAGAACCTTTGACCCAACCATGTCAGATTTCAAACTCTTAAAGCATGTGTGTTCTGTGTAATATGTCCTTACCTTGAAGCACTTGTCATTTTTATCATAACTAGCTAAGATTTTCCAATTACATTGTGGATCACCACACTTATTTCTATGCCGGTTAGGGTCACTTTTCACTGTCAACTTGCAACCATTCTGGATTTGGTACTTAGCTAGAGCCTCCTTAAACTGTGATGCATGCTCAAACTTCATCCCTACCTTAAACCAAACATCAGTCCATAAAGGGTTAAACCATACATCAACACTTTTTCTGGTTCTTGCATCTACACAGACAGTGAATTCATCTTCCTCTTCATCTTCATCTTCCTCATCACTATATTCACACAAATCATCACTACAAATCTCACATCCAACTTCACTATTTAGGGATGTAGAATCAGAACTATTATTTTTGTCACTATCATTTTCATCAGGAACCCTTTCATCCTCTTCACTATCTCTGTTTTGGGGCTCATGGATTGTGTTGCTTGGTCCAACACCATCACCATCTACATTGTTAATTATACTAGCTCTACTCTTCTTTTGATTTCCTCCAATCTCCTTTACTTTTCTAATGGCTTCAACCACCTCCTCATCATCTGCATCATAGTGTAAAGCATTAAGGAATTCATCATCATCATCAAACCTTCTTATCATCATGAATATCCTCCTCATCGTCATGAACCTCCTCCTCCTCATCATGAACATCCATAAAATCATCATGAACCTCATCCTCATCATTATGAACCTCCTCATCATCATGAACCTCCTCATCATCATGAACCTCCTCTTCATCATTAACATTTCCCTACTCTGTATGGTATCAAAGAATTCATCATCATCATGTTCAGTCTCCTTTAGAACTTGTTCCTTGACTGCATTTGTTTCATGAGATACATTATATTCCTTTAGGGTCGATTGTGAAATCTGTGTGACACAGCCATCCCCAATGTCCTCATCTACATTAATCTCATTGCCTCCTTGTGGACCCTTCACCCCTGCACCTTTATCTACTACCTCCTTATTTACAACACTTGGTCCTATATCATTAGTTTAATCAACTTCATCGCAGGGATTACTGCCACTTTCAAGCATTTATAAAATGTTTGGTTCATCACATATATGCTCCACATATACATATATAATTGACCTTTCATTCAAGAGGTAACACATGTGACTAACGTCCTCCAAACCGGCTATAACTTTTAGTGAATCACCAAACTTTGCAACATAAGGATCTTTGTAATACAAATATTCAACATGCATATATCCAATAATTTTTTTCCCTTTCTTCTATATATAACAAAGTTACTCGATGATATTCGATATCCTCATCATGTACTTCACCTCCAACATATCTGAGATGGTCATTACTACTCATGCAAAAATTGCCACCATGGTGAATTCTCAATGTCCACATTACTGTCATAAGAGAAAAATATACTATAAATTTATACATATTTAAGTATTAAATCTATCAATTAACTTATTAATTATAAATTTATAGATTTAGAAATAACTAATTCAAATTAATTGCACAATCCCTAATCTTGAAAACTCTTAACTGTAATTGCACAATCATGGGATGAAATTGGATTTTAAACTAACATGAAAAGCAAAATTGGAAACAAAACTTATAGTTTTCTTTAATTACTTACTAAATCACTGAAACCCTAAAACATCTTTTACTTAAAAACCATAATCACAGACAATGTTTTGCAATATTTAAAAGTATTTTAATCCTAATTAAACACTCAATCTTAATTAAATAGTTAATCTAACTCAAATCTATCACACTCATTAACAATACCATGTCAAAAGTAAATAGGAATGTCTTAGAATAAATAAACATACCTGACAATCAGGCCAAGAACACTATCTGAGTCGTTCGTGTGTTGTGGTCCCATACGTTCCAATAACTTTAACCTAGATTCTTTTGGTTGGTGTGGGGATTAAAGTTCTTTCCTTTGGTGGGGTTCTTCAGGAAGATCTTCTTTCTCGATCAGAATGATAAGAGTTGGACAATTTGTTTGTATCTCATCTGACTTTCCTTTTTTTTTTTTTCAACTCATAAGTTAGAGTCAGAGAGTTGGGCTCACAATTAAATTGTTTGGTGATATATTTCCTGCTAACAAGCAATCCAAGCTAGACTACCAGTGTATAAAAAAAAAGGCCCATGTGTCGCTGACCTATATATGTATGATAGAAATTAACGGTGCACTTGCTACACATGGCCCCTCATGTAAATATTGTCTCATTATCATAAAATCAAATACCAAGAGGGTATAAAATCATACATTATGATGTGAGGGGTAAAGTTCCACACACTCAAAAAATTACAGAACATTCTGTGGGGTTTTGCCAACACATGATCTATGAATTCTACATTTCCACTAATTTTTGCCATCTCACTGACAATCCATAGTCTAAAATCTCACGGTGGGCAGGCACGATGTTAGGTACATAGCCTAGTTGTATGTTAATTATAAAAAATGTTTTAACGCTTAGATGGATTTGTGAATTCTTTTGATTTGAGAATAGTTATTTATATATAATTTTTTAATATTTGAGTTGAAAATTAAAAAAATGATATTACATAAATAAAATAATTATATAATATAATATGATATTAAATAAATAAATATATAAATATTAAAACTCAAC